GCCCCGGGCACCCCCGGCAGCCGCCGGTGCCACCTCGGGTCGACCCCAGCGCCCGAGGAGCAGAAAAACTCCCGGCCTCCGTGGACGCCCAGACAGCAGCCCCGTGTTGCCCCACGGAGGAAACCCCCGCAGCGGCACCCGGGCTTTGCACAAACGGGATTGCTTCACAAACTCCTGCCTGCCCTGCCTCGGGGACGGCTCTCACACAGCGAGACGTTTCCTGCTCTCCACACGGCGTGTTACTCAGGGCTGAGTGTTAGTCGGGGCTCTCCGGAGTCCAGCTCAGGCCTAAGGGGCCATGGAAAGGCAAAGCGCCTGGGGCAGCCTCCAATGTGAGTCGTTCTCTGCACTGATAGATCTTTAAAACAGAAGGAAATATGAAGATCAACCCAGTTCAATAATTATTTACCTTCTTGTCACACCTTTCATGCACATGCTTTATATAGCATTCACCACCACAGTGCAGTCAGATAAGGATAGAAAGAAAAAAAAAAAACTACCATACGAGGAGAAAAAAATACTATAAAATCTACCATTGCTTTTTTTTTTTTTCCTCTTCTAATTTTGCAACAAAATTATGTGGAAGAGGAAGCTTCCAAGGGATCCTAAATTAAAGCAGAGCTAAAGCACATGGAAAAAATAGCACTGATATGAGGTCTACGGACTTGGTGAACACTCCCGTTGACTCATGTAGGCTTTGGATCAAACTGATCCTTGGAGGAACTCCCCATCCGTATTGATTGAAGCTGTTCTTTTTCCCCAAGGTTGAACCTCTTGGGAGCAGAACCCTTCGGCATGGGCAGGATGCTACAAGGGAGCTGTGCCTGCGGTAGGAAGCAAAAAAAACACCAAAAGAAGGTGTTTTGTTGGCGACGGATCACTCTGCTTGTGCAGACCAGGCGCTGAACACACAGCAACATCCCCTTGGTCCCTTGGAGCCACTGGAGCAGCACGTGGCTATTTCTGCTGTCCCTGGTGGTCAGGGTGACTGACACCGTCGCAGCTCACAGCCCGGAGCCCTCAATGGGCACAAAGCACGGACGGATTTGTGCTCTGCCCTGGGACCTTACTGAAAGGCAGCAGCAGTTTGGAGACCAGCAGCGCCTGCTACCTGCAGCCCCAGACCATCCTCCTCCTCCCGAGCTTGCTGTGCTGCTTTGGTTTATTTACTATTTTGGGACGAGCGTAGTTCCTCCTGTGTAAAGCCTGTTATTAACGAGTTAATGATGGTAAACTGCCATGGAAAAGCACTTTCTACCCCAGGGCAATGGATTTATATCAGGGTTTTTACACATGTTGTTCTCCTAGTTCTTACACGTGTGCCAACAGAAGCCCTTGGCTGCCTCCTAGCACTTCTCTGAAATGAGAATTATTATTATTATTTATTATTATTATTATTATTATTTCAGTGGAGAGGTTACAATTTATTAGGAAAGGACTTGCTTTTGTGATCATGCCAGTACTTTTTGACAGGCTGAGCCAATGGAAATTTGGATTTCTCAAGTCAGACATGGACAGAGAAACAGTGTATTTCAGACTAAGATGAACAGGTTGTTCTGGACAAGGTCTGTCCATGTGGGACAGGTGCTAAGGCCCCGCAAACACAATGGAGTTTGCACTATGCTGAGATTCACGGCTCTCCAAAGCTTTGCCAAGATCTAGTGGTCTATTTTGGCATTAAATGGTGCAGCTGAACTCGTTCTGAACATGACTTGGCTGCAAGGGTAGCCAAAGACAAGTGTGCTCAGCTCCGTTTTACCAGATATAGTTGAAACCTGCTGGCAATTAGTCTAGTCCTCCGATGGGCTTCTCTGAGCTCTGCTTCCAATACAGGTCACTGTGCAACCTGCTGCTGCTCACTGTAAGTGTTGGCCTTGTAAAGCCATCATCTCAGCAGGCACTATGAAACACGGAGCCCTCGGGAGCCGTAGGAGCTCTCTCCAGCAACGGGCACGTTCGTACGCGGGACACGGCGAGGAGCGAGGAAGCCTCACAAGGAGCACAGTAAAAATAGCCCGAGTTCCAGCCTGTGGGGGCCATTCAAGATCCGGGCTGGAACAAGACCACGGTGGCAGTCGCTGGAGCACCGTTTGATGCCGAGACGTTCGACACTGCGGCAAATGAATCATCATTATTATTATTTTCCTGGTCTCTCTTTCACTCCGGAGATTTGCCTCTCCACACTCTCTCAGGAAGCTGCACCAGCCCCATCTGCCTCGATGTTCAAACTTAGGAACTAATGTGCCCTCGGTGCAGCGGGAATCGTTTAAAGAGCTCCCACCGGCTGAAGGGCGATGCAGCGGGGGACGGCACCGGCACGCCGGGGTGGCCGCAGCCCCTCGCTGTGCTCGGGCAGAAGCCCTCCAGGCTCCTACGTGCTGTTCCTTGTGTCGCTGCCGTCCCCGGGGGCCGGGGCCGCTGCTCCGTTTCCTGCAGCCCTCTGTGATCTCCTTTGTGCGAGGCCTCCGGGCCGCTGCGCAGGCTCAGCCCTCGCTGAGGACTTCCCTAGTGTCCTTCCCTTCCCTAGCTTGGCACCTCCGTCCTCTTGGCCCAGGCACAAGGAGCCGGTGAGGAGCCGCAGCCCCGCACACGCTTCCAAGCCTTTCAACCATGCAGCAGGTACCAAAACCCTCTTTAAAGTGCTCCTTGCAAGAACAGTCTGAACAACACGCAGCCCATGCAACTGCACCCCGTGATGGGAGCACGAGTTTTGGAGCTAACTTGGTGTGCAAGTTGGTGAAACAAGCGCTCAGCTCTGCTGACCATTAGCAGGGTCCAAATGAGCTCTGAAGAGATCAATCACGGAGGGGGATGGCGCAAAGTTAGGTCTTGCTGTAGGCATTTTCTTCTGGGAAAAGCAGTAAGAATGAAATTTCAAAAAAAACCTACATCCTGGTGACTTCACTAAGTCTGAAAAACGCTTGGAAAAGATGACAGCAAGACTGTAAGCTGCAGATCAGCAAACTCGGACTTTCCCAGTCCTGCAGGGCCACCGCCTGATGATAAATGGATATTCTTCAGGAATTTAAAAATGATGAGCAAAGTGCCTGCAAGAACTCATCACATAACAATGCACATGTGTGAATTCTTTGTAAGTTGTGGGTGATATCCGAGAGCTTTCATTAGTAAAAGAAAATGACCACAAGCCTGAAAAAAAAAAAAAAAAAAGTGAAATCAAAAAGGAAGAACTTTGGCTAAGGGGAATGAGGATACCATTCTGAAGAAAAATCTTAATTTTTCTCTTTGTTTGATTATGCTTACCAACCACCTTGTATGATAAGAAGTCAAGCCCCTCTTCCAGCAGTATTTTTACGTGAAAACATGCAGTTGGAGCCAAAAGCATTCGGAGCTTCCAGAGCATACATAGAGTTACAGTGCTATAGGCCCTGGTTGCAAGGTTTCACCTGCATGGATTTCACGCCAGGTATGGGCACCAGTCACGTCCTTTATGTTGGTGGAGCTGCTAGAACCAATTTCCTCAAAGATATCCATAGAAAGTGTTTTCTTCGTGTTTCCTGGCCAACACCATAGTGGAAAGTCCAGGGTGAAACTGGATGAGCTGCGATGCGCTCTTTGCAGTTCAAACAACCTGTGATTGCTTCACTCACAGCTAATGTCGCTTCCTGGGCGAAGCCTTCACAGCTCCGTGCCCCGAGAAAACAAACTTGCCAAGCGCCTGCTCCACCAGCGTGACTCAGAACTTCATTGGCAATCGAGTGCTTCACGGCACCAGGAAGATGTGATTCTGCTCCTTGCCAAATCCTGACAATGCGGGAAAACACGCTCTTACGCCCCGCAGTCCAAGCCATTCTGCTTTATACAAAAAGGTGGCATTTGGATAACCAAATGGATGGAATGAGAAGACATGAATTTGTACAAGCCAGCTACTTTACCCATAGAATTATGCTCAAATTCTAAAAGAAGAGCTAGATTTGCCTCAAATCCTTCAGTTTTCTCTGTGCAAGATTGAACTGCGACT